TGTTGTTTTTCGAGCTACTTTAATTCTCCTCTTGATAGTTTAACATTAAATACTTCATTAAAAGTTTATTTTATTTGAAAAAGTTAAATATCTCAAAAACTACGCATGACAAAACATTTGATAAATGAAAGATAGGAAAACAGGTAACGCTATGGACAAAAAAAGGTTTTTGGGAGGAAGTAAATTAAATGCACAAAAAAAGTAACTGTAAAACAGAGGTAATTTTAGTAAAGAAAGAGGGGGAGGAGCGAATCCTTAGAAAGTACCAGACAGCCTATTTAAAAAAAAAATCCTCAAAAATAAATTTCACCCGACTCAAATACTCGACTATATTAATCAAAAAACCGACTATAACTTGAAAATCGCCCTCTTCGGGGAGTTATGACCCCCCTCATTCCCACATTAAAATCGCCTCTGCTGCCAAGTAAAAGCAATTTTTGTTGAAGATTTATCTAAATTCTATATCATGCAAATACATTTGTATGTTTATTGCTCAACTTGCGCCACACAGCTACTCAACTTACCCCGCTGAGGCAGGTTGAGGTGCTTGGTAAATTTTAGGTAATAAAATAGTTTTCTCTTATTCATTTTAATTTTTTAATTCAATTTCTAGCAGGTTGCAGGTTGCAGGTTCATCTGCATCTTGCAGGTTAAACTATAACAGATTTAACAATTATCTTTCTAATAGTGAAAAAATTATGCAAATCCAACGCACCGTTTATAAGATCTGTTAGATTTAGTAAAAATTGCTTAACTAGTCTCGCCCGACTTTAATATTTAATTCTTAAAAACAACATTGATGTTAATATTATTATTCTTTTAAGAAATAAATTAGAATATTTTTTCACCTTAATGCAGATTGTTTATATAAAGTAAACGTCAATCATTTATTTTGGCAAGTAAAAAGCTACTGTGCGGTTAAAACATACGACGATATTAAACTGGTCTATTCAGCACAAACTTTGAATAAAATGATTTATTCAGCATGTTTATTAAAATATACATTCTAACTAAATGATTACAATAATCCGCTTATCGAGTAAATTTTTTTCCGTTTTTTTATTAATAGTGTAATGGTAACTTGTATTTCTTCTACATAGTACCGTGTAAAATGAACTTTTTTTTTTTCAAACGGTTACTCACTAACCAAACAACTTTCAGGAATAATATATTTACATATATGTTTAGGAGGGTGCAAATCTTGCTAAATTCCCAAAAATTAAATAACCTCGATAAGAATTAAAACTTCTTTATATTCATGCAATATATTGTGGGCTGTGAAAGTTTCTTTTGAAGTTTGGATTTATTTTTTTTAATGCGGTTAGCTATTTTGCAAATCTCTTATTAAAAAAAAAACTTTTTTTCAAGAAGTCAACACCTAGAAAGAGATTTATTTGTTTGATTAAAGATTGCAATTATATGTTACGTAATAATAGTTTGCGATTAGGTTTAAAAAAGACACCTGAGTACGCTTACGCTTTGTCTCTTTGATGTATCAAAGATTAACGAAAACAAGTTCAGACCTGTCTAAATTTTGATTAAAAAAAAAAACTTTCCAAATACGAGTGCTTGCAACTGTGCAACTTGCAACAACTGTGCAACTTGTATCAACGAGTGCTTGCAACTAACTGGTGCTTTACTAACATTACTATATATTTATTTTAAACTATCTAACAAAACTGCGTTAAGAACAAAAATTTATAATTTTTTAATAACATTACGCTATTTCTAGATAAGCCTTTATAATTAGTTCACTCTTGTGGTTTTAATAAGCTTGTTTTTTACAAAAGGAAGTGGAACGATGTCTTCTCGTTTCGCGTTAGGAAGTGAAGTGCGTCACAAAGTATATTTTCATAAGTATAAGAATTTAATAGGAAATGAATTACTTAATACCATTTTACAGAAATATTAGCTAAATACCCCTAATTTTATATTCTGTTTTTATGAATGCTATTCTATATTGAATCGATAATTTATAAAAAGGTATTTAACTAATCAAAGCAAATCATTTTCCTGATGAATCAACTTTTCAAAATACCCACCTGTTTTTCAATAGTAATGGAAATCTCCTGGCAAAAATTACGGGGGCCGCCTTTGGAAGTCAGAAAAAAGACATTTTTCGTTTTGAATTTATTTTCTATTTTTAAATGGGTTTTTAGTTCAGATTTGGTTTTTTGTTTTTTTTCTTTACATTTTAAAATGAACAATATTAAAATTAATTAAAAAAAAAAAAAATTATAAATTGGATTTCTAAAACGAGATCCTTAGTAAAATTTAAATTATGAAAACCTCCTTTCAGAGAAAAGTTAACAAATATGATATAGATAATTTTGAAAAAAAAAAGTTCCAAGTAAAATCAATGTAAAATTCACTGTAAAAAGAGATCATCATCAAAATCAAAAGTAAAAAGCGTACATAAAACGTACAAGAATTATTCAATGAGAATTATACTTATTATAGTCTAACATAAAAAATAATGAACAGAACAATTTTGAATAAAATTTACACAACCTATGTATAACAGGTTTTTATATCAATATTTTATTCCAACATCTTTTTTGATTATCATATATCAAATCGATCGTTAAAATTTAAAACATAAATAAACGTTAATATTATTAGCAAATTTCCGATAAAACTAGAAAACAAGCAACTTGACAAAAAAATAATAACAAAACAAATAAACAATGCTATGCACCGTTTTATTTTTTATTTATAAAAATACTCTAGAAAATGATAATTCCAACAATATAGTGATCAGCTAGAATGCCATTTCACTTCGAACTCTTCGTTTAACGGTACGAACCTCTTTCCTTCGTATTCTAAGTAAAACTTTACAATCTCAGTTCGAGTTTGTTCTTTATCGAGCAACTTTCGTCTAGGCGCAAGAATTTTGAACAAAAATCTTTCGCTTATTTGCACTCCAGGGTAGTAAAGTTTTGTAGAATGATAGATCTTTTTATCCCACGTATACACAATCCTGAATTTATTAATATTTAAATCGGTATGGCGAACTATAATGGTACCGAGTACGGCGTTTCTGTTTGTCACGGTTGATTCCAAGTAGCATTCGTCATTGTTAGCCTTTACGTGTAAAAAGTTAGTAACTTTAGAAAGAGTTTGAGAAATTGTCGGTGTATAGTGTTTTTTTTCTAAAATTAGTCCACCGTCGTCTGCGAATTTAACCTTTTTTCGATTTTTAGCAAAGTATCTTTTTACTTCGGCGAAATCAGCTATATCTTTATAAATGTTTGCTTCGATAAATGTTTGCTTCATTGCAATATTTTTTTCTCTTCGTACGAAAATTTCTCCTACTTCGTTCATCTATCTAGAGTGACTTTTAGTAAATAACAACTTGTTGAATTTACATTTTTATATTGCTCTGCTAAATATCTTTCTTTTAATCTCTGTATAGTTCTATTGTTTTCATCGTAATATATTCGTTTATGCTCATTTAAGCGTATAATTATGCGTTGTAAATTATAAATAGACCATATGTTTTTAAAGATATATTTGCAATCGGAACACACAAAAAGAAATATACGGGATTTTCCCTAAGACTTTTTTTTTTTATGTAATACAGATTAAAATATAACGGGTGTTATTTAATCTAATTTTTATTATTTACTATTATTAAAATTGCAACCCGTAAATGAGTAGTAAATTTTAAAATTAATTTCTTAAGCAAAAGAGCAAATATGATAACAAAATAATTGTATATTTTAAAAAAATTGTTTTTGATTTTTTTATCGAGAAACAAATTAATCATAATTAATTTTTTATAACCAAGCTTAGAACTTTATAATACCCCCTGATATAATCTGAAATATTAATTTTAATTACATTGGGTTAATGATATGTTTTACTTCAAATTAATATATGTAATTGGCGCCATGATTGTTTTTTTCGGCTGGTTATGGCTTGTCCAAATATCCTTACTAATAAAACCCTGCCACGCGCGTATAATATATTACAAAATTATAATAACGAAAATTGTCGTTGTTATCATAAAATATTTTATCAACCAAAGATTGTAACTAAACAAACATATTTTCAATCCTTAGATTTAACGTTACCACGTTAAGTTTAATATTAGTATGATATAAAATAAATGTAATCCTAAAAAAGAACTAAAGGTATGCTTTATACTGAAAAAAAAACGCATTCAATCATGCGTGCGTAGTCTCTAGCTGTAAAAAAATTTCACAACGAAATAGTACTTCAAATAGTTTCGGAATGATAAACTTAATCGAAAATGACTGCCGTTATAGAATGGCAAAATTTCCTTTTGCCGTTTAAATTTTTGAATAGGTAGTTTTCATTTTACATTTAATTGTTGAGAAAAGGTACGCGCTTAATTTTTTGGAAACCAAATCATACGGATCATCGAATGTAAACTAAAATTCAACAGCGAATGCTGGTAGAAAGAGTGCCGGGTATATAGGTTTACAGACAAAACGCACAGTTGTTTTGTTTCTTAATCTTTGCTATTATTTACGGCTGCACGATATTAAAATCACTGAACACTGAGAGTTTTTTTTTTACTATTTTGAATGTAGCGTGACTACTTTTCGAGTAGTCAAGAGTACTTTCAGGCATCACATATAGCCACCCGCATATAGCCATCAAATAGCTTAATTAAACACTTACGGGTGGTTTTTCTCAGGTAAAATTTGCACTCCATGCTTTGGTTTGCTTTTTTTTTTTTTTTTTTCATTGTTAAATCTGACCAGTTGTGTTTATTCTCCAGTTCTATGCAGTTTGATCTTAATTCAAATATTGATTTTTAAATCAAAGATAAAAAAATAATTTTTTTTTTATAATATTTGCTTTAATAAAAACTTTTATATAAAGGGACTATTATTTATTGGTGAAAATAATTTAATTTAGAGATATAAGTATATATATATATATATATATATATATATATATATATATATATATATATATATATATATATATATATATATATATATACTTTAATTTGATTTTTATTTAAGGTATGTACAGGTTCCTATGAACACCTCGTATTTTCTGTGCCTGATGGAACTCAAATTACAGATGAAATTGAAATTAATCGAATGATTTGGATCAGTTGGACCTGGTGAGTTGTAATAGTTTTAACAGATTCGAATTTACAAAATTCGACGCATTTTTTTTTGTGTTTGCTTGTTATTTTTCTCTTTGTAGCATTCTAGGATGTAATGTTATTGGTATATGGCCAAAAAACTCAGATAATGGAGATATAAATTGCGCTCATTTGTCGCACTCTGGAAAAACTTTAGCAAGTGGCGATGATTTTGGTTTTGTTAAGTTGTTTGATTTCCCAGTTTTGCAAAAATACGTGAGTCTTTTAACTTGATCAGTTTAATACAATTTTATATAACAACCCCCGTTCTATTTTGCTAAATTAATTTTTCAAGTTCTGAATCTTGCAGCTGCAAAAATAAACTTGCGTTCTTTGTCTTATAGCTGATCAGCGCTGCAAAAAATGTGGGGAAAAATCTGCTTGACTAAGCAAATTTTTTTTTTTTTTCTTATGAAGTTTTGCGTACATTGTTAGGGGAAATCCCACATGTGGTTTTAAAAACAAAAACTCCACGAATATGTTTTTTAGCACGAAAAAAAAAGTCACGCGAGTTTTTCAAGAAAAGCTTCTAAATTATGCGGAACGTTTTTAGTTTGTTGAAATATTAAAACTCTTTTTAATATTTTTACGAAAAAAAAGTTAAAAAAATAGAAACCAAATGAAATTGCGATAAGAAGTTTTTTTTAACTTATGTGTTTATAATTTTATTTTTATTTACTTTAAATGCTTGCAGTAAGCTCATGTGAATACGTTAAAAAAAAGATAACTAATATAGATCATACCAATTTTATTAGTAATAATCCGAGCGATAACGTTAAAAGTGTTAAAAAAATTTCTAAAAGTAAACAAACTGGAGTAACATGGCTAGAAGAGATGTTTATAGCCATATCACTATTCCACCAATCCATTAACTCCCTCGATACAAATAAAATTGGTATCGAGGGAGTTTTAGAACTTGTTTTTTTTTTACAAAAATTTGTTCCACTTTAAAAAGCTAGTCAGCAATAAATGTTTAGTAGCCACCCGTTACATATTAGAATTTATTTTAAAGTCTTGAAAATTGTAATGGAATAATCTTTTGCAATGTTTTATTCAATTAAAATCTTTGTTTTTAAACACTTAACTCCGCCCTATTATTATTGTTGCGTTTCAAAGATTTATTTATATTTTTAAGTCATTTTTTGCTTTTTTTTTTTTTTACTTTAATAATACAAAACTAAAAAAATATTTTTAATTTAATTTTGTTGTTTAAATTTGTTATTCATTTGCGTTTGTTTTGTTTTATTTATTGTTTAAAACAACTTTTAAATTATTTTGTCTTTATCCTATCCTCCTTTATTCCATCCTCTAACTTAAAAAAGCTTCAGCAGACGTTACTTTACCTTATTCGAAGCTTAAAGTTTTTTCTAACCTATTATATGAATCTGGTACGTGGCAGTAGAATAACTCAAAAATAGATGTTGAGTGATTTTTTTTTTCTTTTTTGTATCGTACTGTTTATTTACCACAATTTCAAAAACGATGTCTTCAAGTAGATCCCAATCCCCATTAAATCTTATTTATGTTTTATTATTTACACATTTATTATTTTATTCTTTTTTAATGTTTTTACATTGTATACCCAGTGGGCACCGGACCTAAAAAAGACATCTTTTGGACGTTCAAAAGACGTCTAAAACCTGTATAAGACGTTTAAAAGACGCCTTTTTTACGTCCGTGTCTACTGGGTAGTTTAGCGTTATAGTATACTTCATTTAAATCGTATCATTCACTTAAATTGTAAATTTAGACAAAAGGAAAAGAATTTTTTGGTCACTCTGCTCATGTAACTAACATTCGCTTCACGCACGATGATAAATACTTAGTTTCTACTGGTGGAGACGACTCTTGGTAAGTATTTCGTTATTGTTTTGATTTCTGTTTGCACCGCAAGGGCGTAGACAAGTGTTTTTAGTGTTTGAAATAACGTTTAAGCATGAAACGATTTTTTGTATTTTTTTTAGATTTCTAAAAGATGAATAAATTTGCTTTGTAAAAAATTGTGGTTATTAAAGCCTGAGAACTGTAAAAACTTTAAAATGGCCTCTCTCTCTACTTTAAATGCTATTGAGTTTATAACACTTTTTTATAGTTTTATGTTCCCAGGATCGACTTATTCCAGATTTTTTGCGAAGCAGCTATATTCGTCTTAAGTATGAACATGATCAAATTTAGAATTTTTTTATTGATAAATTTTTATCAAAACTTGCCCACTGACATGACAATAGCTTAATGTGATCGACTTAACAGTTCTTTATAGTTCCACATTGGAAGCTTGACTTTTGTAAATATGGACAAAGTTCTGGGTAAACATGACTTTATGAAAATTCGTATATTTAACTTGTTTCAACTTTTTAGAAAAACATAAACATATATACTTTTTTATATTTGTTGTTAAAATGTAGAACTGTAATATACTTTATGAGATCGGTATAATTTGGTTATTTTTATTTCGCTTTAAGTGTCTTTGTTTGGCGGTGTCATCAATGTTAAATTTACGAGAAAACTGGTATATTTTCAAAAAAATGAGAAACCGCCTGAGATTATATATAGATTGTAACGTAGATTATATATACAAAATATGTAATATATTATTATTTTTATTTATTGAGAAAAAATTATTCTGCAATACACGGTTTTGTTTTCGAGTAAACAACGCCTTTCATTATTCAACATTAAAGACATTCACCAGATATGCCTTTTTTAGATAGTGTTAAAATAATGACGTCGTTTTAGTCAAATACGCTGATAAAGGAAAAGCAAACCATATTTAATGTTATTCTTCAACCTGATTTTTTGAAATTTTTTATTTGAATTTTTGACCCAAATTCTTATTTCAATAATAGTATAAGGATGACATTATTTACTTTAGTTGGTCAGATCAAATATAAAGTCGACATCGTCTGAGAAAGATGTCAATATTGCTTTCCTTTTGTTTTCTCTTTTGCTATGACATCATCAAAAGTTTCCGTCGCGGTTGATTCTGCTTTAATTTTTCTTTTTTTATCGTCTGCGCAAAGGTGATATTATTTCGGCGGTAAGTAAAGAACCATAATTAAACTTTTTTTTTCTTTTTTGTTTGTTTGTTTCTACTTAGACTTTATTGCAAAGTCAGAGATGTTTTGACAAAAAAAAAAAAAAAACGTTTATAGATTTCATTATTTTAAAGTTAATTTTTTGACGGAAAAAACGTGCCGGGTTTTTATAGAATTAGGTACTTTATTTTTGTGTTTTGTAAATTGTCAACATGAGGATATCCTAGTGATCAATGATTATTGAAAAAAATTATACAAAAAGGTATTTTCTATGAACGTCCAATAAAGATATCCTGATTAATAAGTCTGGATTGTCGCCCTACAATAAAATCTATGGATTGTCGCCCTTCAATAATAAAGTACTTTTTAATGTTTAAAAACAAAATTTCCTTTTTAAAAATGTTATTATGAACAATAATGGAAAACTAAAAAACAAAGTATTAATTTTTATTTTTATTTTTGTTCAAATCATAGAAACCCTTTCATTATATTTGATAGCTGTGCACGTGTTATGCAAAGGTTTTGAGATAATTTCCTTTCCTTCCCCACCTTGTTTTTACTCTTAATATGTTCTGGCATGACTTATCTTTTTTTTTTTAAGTTCTTGGTGCTCCAAGAAGTCCTTATGGCCTTATCACAGAACACCGCGGAGTAGCGTTTAACCAGGAAGTTCACGCCTCCTTCCTTACCAATGATCAATGATGCATATATGATTAGAGCCGGTTCGGAACACGAAGCTTCGGTTCTAAAGCCAGAACTCTAGCCACTACACCACGGCTGAAACATCTGTTTCTAAAATTTAAAATTCTAAAAAACAGTTTTGTAATGAACGATAAAAGCAAATTTAAGATACATTAAGGAAAACATTTTTTTAAATTAATTCAAAATATAATATAAATTGTTTGATTATTATTATTGTTTTTAGGACTTGCTTCAAAGTTTGTTTGAATTTGTCTGATAAATCTATATTTTACAGGGATTATCTTTTTCCGGATATTTCCGGAATTCCGGATATTTTTTTTAACTTTAAGTTTTTCCGGATATCCAAAACATTTTCCATACATACAAGTTTAGGTATATATTTTTGTAATATATTTGCTTTTTAATCTTTTTCACTCATCATTTATAGAAAAGTTAAGATAGGTTTGGATAAAAAATTTAAAACAACTCAGCTAAAAGCAAGTTTAAGAGGAAAATATATTCCGGATATTTTACCCAAACAATTTTCCGGATTTTTAAAATATGACCTGGATGATCTATGAGTTTAAAAAAAAAAATTTAACTAAAACAATTTTTACTTATTTCTATTTTTTTCTTTTTGATTTTAAAATAAGATATTATTCAGTATTTTTCGCATATTTTATTTTAAAATTTATGCCATTTTTAATTAATTTTGTTCACAAATTAAGATTTTATTACGTTAACTATTTTGTCTATAATCCCATCTTAATACCTCTATATAAGCCCACCTTAACATGGGATATTTGCCAAATGATTTTTAGATAATCTTGACCAAATTGTCATTAATCGCTAATGATTATTAAGAAAAGCAACAAAGTTATATGTTTTAAAAAAAAAACGAACTTATTTACAGAAATCATTGTTGGGATATGAAAAAAGATTTAAGTTTCTTATTTATTTTTTAATCATATTTTGGATTTTTACCATTAACTAGACTGTGTAATAATGATATTGATCTGATTACCCACAATACAACATTTAAAAACAAGCGCGTGATGTTAAACATTAAATTTTAATAAATGCGCACACCCACGTTATGCCTTGACAAACGTTTTAAAATAATACCGTAAGTTATGAAAAACATTAGTTATTTTATTAACTTAAAATGGCTTGCGATCTGCCAAAAATAATTTTACACTCTTTGTCTTTCCCACACATGTACGAACACACACGTACGAACACACGCGTATGTCTTATTATAAACTTTTGATTACTTTGTGTTGAGAGATTATGTGTTAAATGCACTTAGTCAATCAAGTTTGAATAAAACAAAACACTTGACCAAAAAACTTTGTTTCATTTTTTACATTCCTGTTTAATAAAAGCTTAACAACAACTGGCGTTATTCTCATAGTTTAGAAAAAGAATGTTAACGTGTCAAGTGTTTTTGATTAATTTATTTTGCCCAAATAAATTCAATATTTAAAGTACATTTTCGTGCATAACCAATATTAAAAACTATAAATAATACAAAGTATAATCAGACTTGTTCGCTGAACTTGCGAGAATTAAAAAAAAAAAAAAAACTCATAAATCCTTTGGCTAAAATTTATAATGTTTAAAGCATATGTTTTTTGAGCATATCACGTAGGTTTGCTTTATAAACATTGGAATTAAAGTCCGAAAATGAGACCTTCCCGAGGGGGTGTCTAACCGCCCTAGAAAATTAATTATTCGGCAAATTTGGACACTGGAGTCGGCAAAATTATATCTATAGATGGCAGTTGGCATATGTTAGCCAACAACAATTCTTTTAGATCTTAGTCAGCAAAAAAAAAATTGTTGATAGTATTTGGCATCTCCCTCCCCTCCTTTAAAATCTCTTTGGGACGGCCCTGTTTTTACAATAAAGCAAGATATATTATGAGTGATGTTTTCTGAGGGCTTTTTTGTTCCCAGGCTCCAATCATCTCTTTTTGAAAAAATTTTTTATTTGAGATAAGAGATCTTTATTTGACATAAGAAATCTCGTATGTCTATTGATCACGTGAGATTTTATAACATTTAACAATCAAAATAATCAAGCAATATTTTTGTGAATAAGGGTTTTGTGAACAAAACTTTTCTAAAAGTTTATTGAAAAATTTAGTCTCCATGGTAATATATGGTAAATAAATGTTTTAAAAGTAAATCAATATATTTTCAATCAAAAAAAAAGAGCCAAATGGATAGCGGCACCCCTATTTCAATCAAAAGATGTTACTTTTATTTTCTGGATTGAGAAACGGTTCATTAATCAAAACGGACATATGAATCAAAAAATTACTTTTAAAACCAATAAACGAAAAGACAATCAACAAAATCTTCGAGAAAAGTAAATAAGGCGCTTAAAAAATTTTTTTTTTGAGTTTTTCTGGCCGCCCAAATGATATCATTTTAGTTCACTTTAAAGTCAAATCTTCTTCAATTGAATTAGTAATAAGGTCAGTAACGCTACACTGACCCATATTAAAACAAAAATAGTTTTTACAACCTTCAGTTTACTAAACGATTGTTTACTGTCAGCAACTTACACTGGAACAGTGTTGAAAATATGATTTCAATAAAATCTTTTCAAAGATTTTATTGAGTAGCTGCAGTAAACTTCTCCGCTTGAAAATTGTTTTGCAGGCAGTGTTAAAATTGCTAACTTTTATAATGAGATCCTTTTGTTCATATATTTTGGATAAAACTGTGCAAGTTCACTAGCTTCTAAGTTCACTAGCTTTTTTTTTTAAACAAAAAGATCATCAATATTCTACCGGATGACTGAAAACATATTGCCAACCATTCTGATTGTTTCAAATATTGAATTAATTTGCTGGATCATCTAAATCAACATTAAAAATGTTCACTTTAAATTTTTTTGTTTGGTTGTCGTGGAAATAAGTTGTGTCTGTCTCATTGTGGAAGCGCTTTAGTTTAAGCTTTTGTGGCGAGTTCAGTTTTAAATCTTAGCGGTCTAGTTATAGCTACAGCCTCTTGGAAAACTTGCAACCTAGAGCCCCTATCCTTTTAATATTTTCCAGCAGCTGTCCAACTAAACGTCATCGATGGTAATGGCAGTAACAGCAATAAGGGTTTTGTACCAAATTGTAAATTTGGTACAAAAAGTTTTTAAAAGCTCATGCTCGCCTGAGTTGCTCACTGATCAGATTCTCCATTGCATGTTTAAGAGCTACCAACATTTCTTTCAACCTATTAGTAAGCGGTTTAATCGCGTCAATACAAGAGTTCCATCTTGTCATAGAAAGTCTGTGCAGTAAAGTTCTCACACCAAAAAATACGTACAAAAATTTGGCATTTCTAAAGAATATTTTAATCTCAATTGCTGATTCAACTGCGTGCACACCAGCTAAATTTAGACTATGAGCGCTACAGGAATCGTACATGGTTTCCAAATAATTTTGTCTTACTAAGACTTGAGTTTCCTTGTAAGCCTCTGACATATTAGATCCATGATTGTATCCCTGACTACGACGTTTCGAATATCCAAAAATAGCCTTGTTAGGTTTGGATATTCAAAGCTTCGAGAATTGTTCTTTGATTTGCCAGCAATTAGTTTTAATTTCATAAATAAGAAAAATAACAAAGGTCATCTGCTCAGTGTGAGATTGTTTTAGGGCGTACTACTGACTATGATGATGAAGTAGATACCATCTTGGATTTCTTTGACAGCTGCACTTCTTTTGAAACCACCGCATTCTCTGATTTACTCATTTGAGACAACATAGAAAAGTAATGAGCACTCATTCTGGAGTCCTCTTATTAGTGGCGTCTCGCATCTTACAATTGGGATGCAATGACAATGTTATGGCAACCTATAAATTCCATACCGGCAAGAATGTTTCAATTTTCTTTCTCATTCACGTGTGTTGTTTCACCTGCAAACATAATTGTATACAATAATTATAATTAAATAACTATAAAAGGAAATAAATAATTAAAACTGATATTGAGAGAACTTTATAATAAGTTACCATAAAAAGCTAAATTTTTAGAAACCAAGAAAAGAGTAACATCAAAAATTCCATGAATTATCCTCCATTTACCTATTACCTCCATTACCTCCATTTAGCTGCCTCAGAATTTATTCCTTTTAATCCCATACCGGTAGAGATGGAAAGACGAATATATGCCTCTTTACAATCCATTTAGAGCCTTTAGTGCAATGGTCTGGATTGATGCTACTTCACACAACCTAAGATTTTTTTCCATTTATCTCTTGCTCTTCCGTTTCAACGAAAAAGAGACGATTCCCGGGTTTTGAGTACTACTTTTGGTCTCAAGAGATAGCAAAGAAAACAGTAGAGAGCCTTGATGACCAAGCTTCAAACCAAAAAATTTCTTACTACCCGAGTAGCAAGAAATATTGGTGCATTATTGGCGCGATATTGGTTATCTTGGCCAATATCGTACAAGATAAGCGATATTGCGCCAATATTTTTAAACAGCATTGCACCAATATTATCATATTAAGATTGTCAAGTATTAGAATGCCAATATTGTGCTAATATTCCTTGTCAGACATTGGAATGTCTTTATTGGCGCAATATTGTTTGCCTATATTGATGCAATATTAGTTAGTTAATATTGGCGAATATTGACATTTTTACACTTGTACGCATGCTTTACTTTATTTCATTTTAATAATGGCATTCAGCTTATATTTTGACAACTATGAATAGTTTCTACATGATTAGGTGTAGCTAAAGCTTGAAGAATATATTTTCACATAAATCACAAAAGCGCTGGCCCTAAGACTTGCAAAAGTAATGGGTAAAATTATAGAACCAAATCAAACTTGCGGAATTCCAGGTAGAACAATTTTCTCAAATTTACACTTAGTCCGTGATCTAATAGATTACGCGGAATTTAAAAATCTACCTAGTTTCATTTTGTCAATAGATCAAGAAAAGGCGTTTGACAAAGTCGATCGTGCGTTTCTGCTGCAGATTCTCCAAAAATTTTATCTCGGAGAAAACTTTATATCCTTTATTAACACTCTATATTCAGAAATTTCGGCATTTATTCTGAATTGCGGGTTCTTGTCAGCCCCATTCCTTACCGAAAGGGGAGTCAGACAAGGCGACCCCCTCTCCCTTTTGTTGTATGTCTTTGTGGCTGAAGCTCTCGCTTTAGTGAACAGAGCGGACAGCAGAAAAGAGAGATTCCCATTACCAGGAACACCGAAACCCCTTAAAATACAGCAGTACGCAGACGATTCGAACTTTTTTGCCAAGGACGTAAAATCAGTCCGCTTTTTTTTCGAAAAAGTAAAATTGTTTGAAAAAGCAAGTGGTTCAGTGATCAATACCTCAAAAACCAAGGGTCTTGCTCTCGGGGGTTTTGATCCCAAAATGTACCCGGAATTGGACAACATAGAGTGGACTAATAACACAGGTTTCAAAATTTTAGGTGTTACTTTTTACACCAGACTGAGCAATACTACCAATTTGATTGTCAAAAACAACAAATGTAAAACTTGCGGTAAAATCAAGGACAACCTTCACATCTTTGCCTACTGTCCTCCCTCTGTTGAAATTTGGGAATATTTTAAACATGTATATAACTCCTTGAAGTCCCAAAAGGTTTTTTCTCCAATAAATTCGATTTTCTCTATCGGAACTGCGAATTTATCGGAAAAAAACCCTATTTCGCAACTGTTGTTGACACTCACTCAAACCATCATGAGTGAGATATGGAACAGCAGATGCCACCACATGTCAAGTAACATGAAAATCAATCCAATGGCAGTGATCAGGGTAATAATCAGGAAAATCAGGAATATTATTACTTTAAAATATAATTATCATGTCCGTAGAAACACTACGGACATTTTCTGTCAACTTTTTTATGTTAAAGATATAATATGCCAAGTAGGAAACAGAAGACTGAAACTAAACATATGAGCTAAACTGACACGCTAGCTCAATAAAAGAACTATATGTTTAGTGATGTATTCCATTTCGCTACGAATTATTATTTTTACAACAAAATATTATTACTTATGTTTAAAAAATCACTGCCAGCCTTTATTTTATGAATTATAATTTCCCTTCTTAAATGTTTTTCTGTAGCGTACGTAATGTGATGTTTGTGTTAAAGTCTTGTAATTTTTTGCTGTTATATTATTAAAATTTCCTTCCTTTAAACAAAAACTTCTTGAATTCTTTTTTTTAAAAAATCTTCCTCTTTAACTTTTTCAAACCTTTCCATTTCTCTCCGCACAATGGCACTCTAATAAAAAAAAAAAAAAAAATACAAAAAAATATAAAATCGAAAAATACAAAAAAATATAAAATACAAAAACACAAAAAAAATACAAAAATTATAAAATCAAAATATGAATAAAAATAAAAATTAATAAATATATATATATATATATAACCGTGGTAACTATTGTAACTTCTTTAATCTTCTTATTATTGTAACTTCATTGTTATTGTAATCATAGTGAAACTTATTTTATTTTGAAAATTTATCATAGTACTAGTTGTATTAAAAGAAATGATAGATTGTAACTTTGTATATGATAGATTGTAACTTTGTAAATGATAGATTGTAACCTTAATTTTAAACACGTTGAGATAATGTAAACTTATAAAAATTTGTAAATAAATACTATTTTATATAAAAAAAAATATATATATATATATATTTTAATATTATATAACCCTTATTTAAATTAGGTATATATTAGATTTTTATTTCATGGGTTCAGTTTAGTATATTTTATATCATGTCATCTCACTGTAGAAGTAAATATTTTCGTAGTACTAGAAGCAAGTTTATTCGTAGAGCTGTTACCAAACATTTTGAAGATATTGATGTTGATTCTTCTGTAAAAGATATTTGTTATAATACAGAAACCTCTCTACTTCACAATAATGCATCAAATGTTTTAAGTTGTCAGAATATTGATGCACACGGTCATCATGATGATGATCATGTGCATAAATATTTTGACAACTTAAAACACGATGATCATGCAACTGAAGAAAAATGTGAAGAAGTAATCATTTTAGATAATTTTGATTATGACATTATGATATTGGAATTTGATGAATCAGATGAAAATGTGACTTACTTTCCGTCTTGCTCCAGTGATGACGAAAGAAATGTTGCAATACAAAACCTACCAGAACAACTTGTGCAGTGGTCGTTTAAGCATAATGTTCAACAAAAAACATTGACTGATTTATTGCACATATTGTCAAATTATCATTCTCTGCCCAAAGACGCAAGAACACTTTTAAAAACTAAAAACTGCACAGGCATTATTGCCATGAAAGATATTTATGGTCGTGATGGTGAATATATTTATATGGGTTTGAAACACAATTAGTGTGCTTAGTGAAGCATGCTGTAACATTCAGTAAAAGTAAAAGTAATAATATCTACTTGTTATTCAATGTTGATGGAGTGCCACTATTTAAAAGTTCATCACAGCAATTCTGGCCTATATTATGTATAGTTAATTATAAAGAACTAGTCTCTAAACAATTTGTTGTGTCGCTTTTTTGTGGTGCAAGTAAACCTACATCTGCAGCATTATTTCTTAACGATTTAGTGGTAGGATTGAATAAAGTTAAACAAGATGGTATTGAATTGTATGGTGTACAATATAAAGTTGTTATAAAAGGATTTTTTATGTGATGCACCAGCCCGTGCATTTATTAAGTGTACTTAAGGTTACACAGCATACTATGGTTGTGAAAGGTGCACTCAAAAAGGGTTAGAGTTGATCATAGAATTCTTTTCCGATGTTAAAGGCAGAAAAACGTACTGATTCTTCATTCTCTAGTAAAAAACAAATACAGCATCACAGAAATAATATTTTATCACCCTTACTTGAACTTGGCATTGGTGCAGTGTCTCAAGTTCCTTTGGAATATGCATTTGATCTGTCTTGGTTCTACTCACAAAATATTTATGCATCTTTTACGTGGTAAACGAAATGTTAAAATTAGTATGCAAACTGCTAATGCAATATCATGCGAACTAACAAATATAGCCAAATATGTCACAATGGAAATTAATTGTATTTTTTGAAATTGAAATTGAGAATTATTATTATATGTCGTAAATTTAGCAAACAAAAAAGTTTTTATTCCTATCCTTGCAAGTCTTCACTGCTTTAATTGTACCGTGTCACAAATTTGTCAGCTAAGTTTTTTGTTTTTCCAGTAACTAACATTTTAAAAAAGTGCATGCTAATACCAAGAGATGATTACTTTGTAGTTTTTCCTCTACTTCATGGGCATACAACTGGTCTTTAGAACATTACTTTATAACATTTTGTATTCTAAATATTTACATGAATTAGTGTGTTTTTGAAAAATTTATTTGTTTTTTATTCTCATCTACTTTTTTTAGTCTCTTCTACTTTTTCAATTTTTAATTTATTTTTCTAATCTGAAATCTAATTATGTTACTTATTTCCTACACACTAATTTTCTTTATCTAATTTTGTTATAGCAAGTGATACATGGAAAACAATAATTTTATTAACAAAAAGTTTGTTATTGTTGTATTTAAAGATGAAAATGAAAACAGAGGAAAATGTTCAATAGAAGTTATACCATCTTGCTGGCTTATTGGAGCTGATATGTGTTATTGGCCACCAAAACGCCCTAGTTTATCCAGAATTGGACATTATATTGAAAAATGTGCCAAATCTGAAATCAACTGGCAAAGGTTTTCCATAAAGATTCTTTCAAGCACAGGTAATGGTATTGTTTTAGCAAATAATACATAATATGTAATGAATATTGTTACTGTTAAATTTTACTTTTACAGTGCAAAAACATAAGCCATTATGTTGTTTGTTTCATTTTTTCTTATTTGTAGACAACCTTAAATCTGCCAATGAACTTGCAGAAAAACTCCTATACACATCAAATGTAGAAACAGAGGATAGTGAGTTTGAAACAGAGCATTGTACAAAAAAAGAAAACTTCTTGATGCAGAAAGTGATGGTGATATGCAGTGTCTGCAGAAATGTTTGGTTTAAAAAAAAGTACTAAAAAATCTAAATTTACACCTTCAGTATTTAATCCAGTTATCATGTCTAAAACGCCAGACAGACTCGATGTACCAGCTGCTGAAATAACAGAAGTTCCAACAAGGTTTGGTAAACAGTTATTTTATTCCGGATCAACTCTATTTATTTCTCAGCATTTATTTAAGATATGTTTTTTAAGCGTTATTTCATTACAGAATCACAAATTGATTTTGCAGTTAATAAAGCGAAACTGATCAGCCTGCTTTTGCGATGAGATTTTCGGGTAAGAATTTTTTTGTGGGGTTGTATAATTATAATAATTTCTTTGAAATTGAAATTTTAACTATTTTGAGAGGTTAAGCACAACTTTTCCCTTTTTTCAACTTTTAAGAGTTTTGTTTTGCATGTTATGCATAAAATAAATTGTTGGTGCTTGCAAAACATATAATATATAATCAATTATTTAATAAAAAAGAATTTTTAGTTGCAGTTCTTTATATGTAATGTTATTATTGTTCTTATTTTTTTGTAGCATTTGAAAAGTCATGCTTAGATCTTTTAAATGGTGTTCGTTATGGTATTAAAAAGATAAGAAATCGTTTAGATAACATTGAAAATAGGCTGTAAAACTTTTAAAGAACCTGCTATTGACCAAACCATGTAAGCAGCGTCAACTGCACTCCAAACACAATGGCATAATATATTGCCTAATTAAGCGAAATAGACTTAGAAACATAGAAATGATGATAGCAGAAAAAACTGTCAGTGATTTTTTGGTGCGTATTGTATATTTTCTTATTTCTTACTGTCTTAGGTTTTAATTAATGTGGTAAATTATTTCTAGTTATATTACATAAAGATGTGAAGGTCCTTTTTATGCTATAGTTGTGCTATTTTTACCACACATCTCTCTTAAACAATAAATTATATTAGTGTGTCATGTTATTATAATAAAAGAGCAAGTTTTAGGTCAATAATAGTTATAATTCCAGGTATTCATGATATGCAAATTGCAGTTAGTCGAGTTGCATATGGCACTTGACTAGTCTACTGTATAATTTACTAAATATGCAAATAAACTTGTAGGTAAATATTATGTTCTGCATTTTGTCTTTTTCAAAAATATTTTTTTGTAAATACTATATTGTAGTAGTATGTAGTGTTCATGAACATAAATGCAATTTATAGACCAAGCTATTGGCCTATAACTTGCATATAACGTTCATCAGAATTAAGAATATTCAAAGAAGAATCTAAAAATAAAATATATCTATAAAACTTTTAAAGTTAGTAGAGGATACTTTTAACCATATTTATATTCTTTCTTCATTTCCCAATCCAATTTTGTTTTATAGAAGAATTAGAGAGAAAAAAAATTATAGAAGAATTAAGAAAGTTTTTGTATTAATAATAAGTAAAGAATGTATTTTGTATTAATTTATTTTTTATTATCGAATTAATTTTTATTTTTGTAGTATTAATAATTTTATTATGGTATTAATTTAAATTTTGTATTAATAATAAGTAAAGAAGAATCTATTTATACTTTTAGGTTTGTCATCTTGCTTCGTTGGGCGGCGAAAACTATAAAAGCATGACAACGGATGTAATTAAGTCCATGTTTTCTAAACAAGTTAGCCTTTCATATTCTGTGCATGGCAAAAAAGGCAAAAAATCATTAATTAAACACTCAATCTATAATGTTATAATTAGCAAGTTTCACTATATTTATATATTTGATTTATACAGTGGCGGATTAAGAACATGAAGGGCCTGAGGCCAATATATTTGTGGGGCCCTTATACAGTGGGTTAAAGACCCCCCCCCCCACACACTTACACACACACAAAATTTGCAGTTCGCACAATTAAATTTGTAAACAATGTTTGATTTATTATTTCTTGAAAGTAAATCTTTTAGTGAAAAATATTGTTTAATTTTAAAAGAAAGGAATTATAATTTGATAATTTAATCTTTTTTACATAGTTATAGTTAACTTATTAGTTTGTTTTGAATATTTCTTGAACAATCAGCTAAATATAATATTTCTTGAATACATATGGCAACTTAAAATATTTGCAATTAAGGGATTAGTTATTGTTGAATTTAAATGTACCAAATTTTTTATTTAAATAGTTATTTATACATTTTTTAATTATAGAAAAAAAATACCATTTTCATTAGAAAGCATATATCTTGCTCAGTTTTGATGCTAAAATTTGCGTGAAATCAATTGAATTTGGTAAAAAAGATAAGTCGATTGCACACGACGACCCTCCCCTCTCCCCCACGGTGCAGACCTGTGATACATACACACACACACACATATATATATATATATATATATATATATATATATATATATATATATATATATATATATATACATTAGAATACGTCATCAAACAATATTTTTTGAAAAATGCTTTGGGATAAATATATGCTATATAATGAACTAATAATAAAAATAAATATTTTTAAATCAAAAATATTTTTAGACTTGCCCCCAAAACCCTTAAACATATCAGGGTCCCTAATATTTAAAAAATATTTATTGTAGCTTTTTTAACTTTTAGTTAACTTTTAGACAAAAAACCGTAGTTTTAATGCATAAAAAATATTTAAAAAAAATAAAATTATTATTTTCAAAACATTTATGTAATTTCGCTTCTTTTGAGTACCATTTTTTTAATAATATTAGGTTTTAATAATATTACCCATTTTTTTAATAATATTACCCTGTAAATGTTTAAGGGTCTTGGGGGCAAGTCTAAAAATATATTTGATTTAAAAATATATATTTTTATTATTATTTCATTATATAGCATATATTTAGAGCTATCCCGAAGCAATTTTAAAAAAAATTTGTTTGATGTCCTACCCTATTATTTATTAACTATTTATTATTTACCCTATTATTTATTATAAATTAAATTTAGTTGCTGTTAGACGGAGGTTTCCTAAAGCAACTGAAAAACAGATAAGAGAAAGAATTTGTTTGTCTTCTCGAGACTGGGATGGTGATGGTCTGATGGTGATGGATGGTGATGGGTGATGGATGATAAAATTCGATCATTAACTCTGCCTACTGAGCCAATATCGTCGCAACAGCACCTTTGATAATCTTAATTAAATGGACAATAAATAAAAGTATCTTGTGCAAAATAGTTTTTCTTTATTAAACCTTAATCCGTAAAAACTTTCATTAAATATTTGAAGCGAAATTTGATGAAAATGCAATATTAACGATATATTGCTTATGTTCAAAAATGATATCGGCCCAATATTACAGTCTATATGTAGCCAATATTGTAAAACAATATTGGCTATATATATCAAAATGTGGACATTTTATATCGGCGCAATATTGTTAGCAATACTTAGCCAATATTAATACAAATATTGCGCCAATATTGTAAAACAATATTGGCTATATATATCGAAATGTGGACATCTTATATTGGCGCAATATTGTTAGCAATATTTAGCCAATATTAATACAAATATTGAGCCAACATTGCGCCAATATTCCTTGCTACTCGGGTACTTTTTTATTATTTTCTTTATTAGGTAAAGATTAATAAGACATGTTTAAAGAAAAGATTCTCTGCTTAGAATCACGGCAATAAATATTTGTTCTCTCTTTTTGAAGATAAATATATTCTATTCGTTCTATTCATTACATCAACGTCCGCAATAGACTGCTGCATCTTCCTGTTGTAAACAAAGTATTAACTTTTTTTTTAACATGGCAAACGCAAAAAAAAACAATTTAAAACAAAAGTTTTAATATTAAAAAAATTTTTTTTTAGGTGAATCAAAAAGTCCTTACAGTCTTATTGCATCCAATCTTGCAAAACTTGCCTAAAGATGGTTTTAAACCACCAATCTTATGCTTCTGAGACAGGTTCCGACTAAGAGGCTGATCATACGGCAAAAAACCATCTCGCCTAATCAAGATACCCGAACAGGCGGGATAAATTTCAGCTCGTGTTCAAATAAAAAAAAATAATTCGCTCAGGTAGGACGTTTTTAAGGTCATGTGATGTTAGTTTTGAAATAATAATTCACGTCAATCTTTAAATTAAATGAAAGTTTAGTAACTTTTTTATTTTGATTTACAAATATCTATTTGATAACTTTTAACTCTTAATATACGCATATTAAAAGTTTGATAGTATTGTTTGTTTTACAAAATAAATATCATTTTGTAATAAAGTCGTCCAGTCTACCCGGGATGGTTTTCAGTCTGTGTTCATATGAAGAATTTTCAGGCCGCCAAAAACGGGACCCGGTAGTTCAAAGGCAAGATCTCGCCTCTGAACGCAATGTTAAAGTTAAATGAGTTTTAAAGGAGAGGCCAGATCTCAGTTTTTCTATCCTGGTTAGAGGGGATCATTTTTACCCATACTACATACTATTTTTTTGTAAAAAATTGAAAATGATTTTTTTTTCTCAAAAGACCGTAAAACTATCTGCATACGTTTTTCCAAATAAAAAAACACTTTAACCCTTCGTAAAAAAATAGTTTTGTCTTAAAAACCAACTTGTTATTGAAACACAATCTGGCATCTGGCAAACTTGCAAAGTAAAAAATTTTTTTTAATGATAATGATAAAGATAATTTTCATTAACTCGATTATTTATTTACTAGTCGAGAAGAAAACATCGTAATAGCCGAGTAACTGAGCTATTCCGGTTCATATTATCCCGGTTCATATAAAGGCATTATATATCCCGGTCAATTACAAAATAGTACCTGCAACCGGTTGGTATTTCTTTGTTATGGACCGGGATATATATTGACCGGGTTATATATAGTTGATGGTAAAAAAATGAAATATACACTGCCTAAAAAGCTGATGTAGTATCAAATATAAAAGAATTTTTTCAATCGTGGAATTTAAAAGAACAAAAAACAAGTTTTCAAAAACTTGAAAAAAATTCCAAGAGCAACTTATTGGCTGCCGAGTGAGCTCAAACGTGTTAAACACGTTTAATAAACTTATTGGCTGGTACGTTCGACAAACAAAATACAATAAAAAAAAGCACTTAAGTTTTCTTTAAAACTTTTATTGTTTTTCTTTTGACAAAAAAAAAAAAAAAAAAAAAAAAAAAATTACTTAGACTTATGTTTAAAAAACGTATTGAAACGTTTTAATACGTGTTTTTGAAATGTTAAACACGTCTTGTGCTTATTGGATATGAAAAACGTAGCTCGTGTGCCATAAGTTGTGCGGGGTTATGTCGTTTTTAATTAGTTGTTATTTTTTATTAATAGTTACTGTTTTGGTATTAATTACTTTTACATTAATAATATTTTTTAAATACTGCAGCTTGAGTTACTTTAAAAAATTCCAGTAAACACAGGTTGGTTTAGAGTTGGTCAATATTTAGTCAAAATCGGATAAAATGTTTAGCGACCTATTATTGACTAAAAATCTACACTTGATTTGAAATGTATATTTCAAACTTTTTTATATATACGTTAACTAAACGTTGATCTAACGTTTAGAATATCAACTTACATTAGTCAGTATTGTAAACCTTTAATCGACCTTAATTAAAAGTAAACATTTATAGATTTAAAATCTACGCGTTAAATCTTTTAATATTATTAAACGTCAAATGTTTGTAATATTGAGTAATATAAGTCGTTGTTCTAAACGTTTGATCGACGTTTAATAAACGTTTATTATATTATAATATAGTAATATAGCCATTGGTCAGAAGACTCACATAACAGCTTAAGTCATGCGGTTTAAATAGGCATAATTAAAACGAAATAAAATAAATAAAAAAACATAGGCATTTGAAAGTAGACATTCAAAAACGCAGAGTATTACGAAAAAAAAGACGTTGAAACAATTTCAACAAATTGTGTATTCTTGCCACCAGCATAACAGGTAATATCGAATATTTCAATGTGATATATTTTATTAAACTATTATAAGTAAATATTTGTAATGAAGTCATAAATACTCATGAACATTATTATTTATTACTTTATTCAAATATAATAAGCAAACAATTTGCTTCTTATCTTTAAATTAAAAATAAGATTAGATTGTTTAGAGTAATTTAGAGTCTAATGTTGTTATATCAATTAAAAACAATTAAAAACTGACAAGAGCGAATTAAACTAAAACTATTGTTCATTGGCTAAATAATTAAGTTAGACTTAAATGCGATTTCAAGATTCACTTCCTCACAATAATTGAAAGCAAAACGACTGATAAATTAATAATAAACGAGTTTTGGGTTCGCCGTATAAATTTTTAGTTAAAAAGCTTTTCTCGCGAAAATCAACCTTCCTAAATGCCAACAAATCAATGGGCTCCGATGTTTTAGAAACTATTGATGGCCACATTGACACAGTTAAAAAGTATGAGTTGCTGGTCTCTCGTTATAAAAATCCTGCAGCAAGAACTTTTTTCGTAACTTTTAAAAACACAATCATACTGTTACACAATCATACGTTAGTATGATTGTGTAACAGTAGGTATTCATCTTTGCAATAATCAAGAGGTTTAATAACTAAATAATTATTTTTTTGTTTTAGATGCATTTTAGACTTAATTTAGTTGCATTTGCTAAAAATGGTTGGTGGAACAGAGCTGGTAAAAACCACTGCATATGCTATGTCGCGACGTTACTAATTTTTTAATGTCAAAAATAAACATGGATAGCACAGGAAATTTTGAAAAACTTCTATTCAGAAAATCCTCTATATATAAAGTTGTTTTGTGTAATTCCAATTTTGATTAATGAATTTTGATAAATGAATATTTAAAATTTTTTACATATTTAAAATGCTAACTATTTTACTCTAGTTTTTTGCGGTTACAAATTAGGTTACGAAATCAGACGATCAGGATACGAATGTACAAGATGATGTTGCACAAAAACAGGTGCATGATAAACAAGCAGTAGATGGTATACTAGGAAAATTTTTGATAATGCATAAACCAGAGAAATCAATGATCCAAAATATATGTTTATGATTTTATTAATTTTATCAGTAATCTTTAACTTAACCTTAATGTAAACTTTTATTTTCTGCTAATTAGATTAAATTTTAAAAATATTCGATAGAAGTTGTTACTATAAAAAATCCACTGCAAAAAGCTTGATCATTTATCTATTTTTAATTATCAAAGCATAAACAAGTATAGTGCACGAACATTTTTTCTCTAAATCCCCACTTTATAAAAACCTTTTATATAAGTTTATAACTTTATTTATAGTTTTATAAAATAAAAGTATAAGTAGTATAGTATAAAAGTTTATAAACATATTATAATAGTTATAAAAAATATAAAAAATAAGACCAGGTCTTTTATAACTATATCTTATTTATAAATTTCATTACTTTTATAACTATATCTTATTTATAAATTTCATTACTTTTATAACTATATCTTATTTATAAATTTCATTACTTTTATAAATATATCTTACTTATAAATTTCAAGACCTTTATAGCTCTTATTACTTATATAAAGTTAAAAAGTTATAATGTAATTTTAATTTATATTAATTTCAAAACTAAAATAAATTGAAACTACGTTAACTAAATCAAAGAAAATATTAGACAAGATCTAAAAGTTTAATATACGTTTACTTAGACAAAATCTAAACGCTTTATATACGTATAATAATACTATAATAGACGTATAAAACATGTTTAAACAAAGACATTTTATAGACGTTTGTTCTAAGCGTTAATCTGGATTTCATTCTAAACGGATAATCGAACAAATCTGAATGTTTTGTCGAAACTTTGTTTTGGCGTTTAATAAACGTTTGTGTGTTTACTGGAAAGTTCTTAAAGAAAGCTAACTAAAAATGTCTACGTGTGTAAAATGTATGCATATATGTATGTATGTATATATGTATGTATGATATAGATATTGATTAAAATAACTTTTAAAAAATGTTCAAGTTGTTTTAAAAACTTGGAAATATTTTGTTTAAAATATATGATTAACATGAGTCTATTTTAAGCATTTAGCTGTATTTACGCGGTTTCATATACTCTAATATGGAAAAAAAGCGATTAGTTTATAATTTTTTTAAGGTTGTTAGTATGTATTTCGCCATAATGAAAATATTTACATAAAATTAGACTCAAATCAACTGTATATACACGGCTAGGGCAAGAAGAAGACAAATCGCCAACCCCTTTAAAATAAGAATATAAATAATAAAATAAAAATATTACCGTTATCACAATATAATATATGCATTTATAAATGCAAATATAAAAATACTTTATATATATATATATATAATTTTATTTTCTTTCAAACTTTTATTTATTAAGATTTCGAATATAAAAATAAATAAAGATGCGATAAAACATGAACATCAAAGAAAGGTAAAGATTCAGATTAAAATCAAAAATAAAGTAAATAACAAGTAAAAAACAAGTGATTACTCCTATTTAAAAGTTTCAGAAGAAATCCTGCTCGTTGTCAATAATCAAAAATTTATTTTTTATTTATATTTAAATTGTTCAAGTAAAGACCGTGGCGTAGTGGCTAGAGCGCTTGATTTATAAGCATGAGATCCAGGTTTGAAACCATATTTTGCTTTACGGTAAGGAAGAAGGCGTGAACTTCCTGGTTAAATGCACTTCAGCGGTGCTCTGTGAACATTAGGTCTTCTTGGGGCATCTAAAAAAAACAAGCAAAACAAAAAAAAGACCTTTTTTTAACTCATTATCCGAAAGCATGTTTCATAATTTAGGTCCTCTGATTGCAATTGAGAATTTAGTCGCAGAATAATATATTTTTGGTTGAATGGAATTGTTATTTGAAAATCTTATTGGGTATAAATGATTTTTTTTTTTCGAAAAATAAGTTAAATAAAATGGGTGCCATTTTATTATCTACTTTGAACGTAAATAAAGAATATGATTAAGACAATTGACATGAATATGACACAATTAGAAACAAAGAAAAAATTTAAGACTGTTATTATTCCTTTTCTAATGAAATGTATTAAAAAAATTTGTTCTAAATTCAGACAAAAATATAAGTCTAGTATAAATAAAAAGATATTTTATGAAATAAAATTATGAAATAATTTACATTTTAAATTTACATCATCAACTCCGAGAGTTTAAATAAATAAAAATTAATTTGTCATTTTTATTTATAATTTTTCATTTATTAATAATATTAATAATTAACTTATTAACTTTTAGATTTTATTAGGTATTAGGTATAATGCATAATTTGATTTAATTTTTTAAAGAATCTCGGTTTTGTGGTGCATTGAAACTATTTTATTCACCACCCCTCAAAACCTAAACAACTGGTTCATATTAAACAATTTATCATTTAATTTGTGAAGCTGTGGCGCAGTGGTTGCACACTTGCCTCTGAAACAAAGAATCCGTGGTTCAAAACCCACCTCTGGGCAAGTATTGCGACATCGGTTAGGAAAGAGGCGTGAACTCCAATTAAATGCTCATCCGCGATGCTCTGTTATAAGACCGTAAGGACTTCTTGGGGCACATAAATAAAATTAAAAAAAAAATACAGAAAAAACCAAAATACTTCTTGTTTCATTCCAATCAACAGAAAAATAATATAGTAAAAATACTACAGCATCTACATCGCCTCTGCATCGCATTGCATCTACATCGCATCTACATCGCCAAAAAAACTGATTACATCAAAACAATTAGATTTCTTGGAATATTTATTAACAAGAAAACTTTTTCTTGGAATACATATTACAAATACCAAAGTATCAAAAAGTATCGGTAAATTCTGCAAAATCAAAGCTTTCATAAGAAAATCTTAAAATTATCTACTTTTTTTTAATTTATATAAATATATATATATATATATATATATATATATATATATATATATATATATATATATATATATATATATATATATATATATGTATATATATAGGGTAAGTGGGGGCATAACCGCCCCCGTAACGTTTGGAATAATGTTATATGAAAATAAAAACGAAATGTGTTTTTTTTAGCAGTTTATTTCAATCACCACATCATTAAGCTTTAAATTGATGCATTTAAGAAAAAAATGAAACAGGTTTTGAAAATGTTATTACACAAAAATTACACTTAGTGAAAAAAACGGTTTTGCCCCCATTATGAGGCACAACCGCACCCTCAAAAAAATCGATGGGGCTACACCTTTCTTGGTACATTTTTTTTACAATTTTCACAGCTCAGATTATTTGATGATTTTGTTGCATGTTTGCATATTGTGCAGGCATTCTTTGTGTTTACATTTTGAGTTCTGCCCCAGAAGAGAGTTCTACCCCAGAAGAGAGTTTTTAGAAAGAATTCAGTTTCATAGATTAATTATTAGATTATGGTATTATCAAAAATGACTTTCACTTCATGAAATAATGCTGATAACACATATTTTTAACACTAAAATTAAATATTGCTTAATTCTCAAAAAGAAGGTCAGGAAAAATATGATGTAAATATAATATTTTTATTAAAATAAAAGTTATTATTCACAACTTCTCAGAAACTTAACAGTCACTCTTTTTGACATATGCAAAATGAAGGAAACTGTTTTACTAACGCGTGGTATGTTTTTTGCCATATTAGATAACATTTTTTGAAGAGAAATGTTAAAAAACGGTTGTGCCTCCATATGCGGTTATGCCCCCACTTCCCCTATATATATATATATATATATATATGTATATATATATATATATATATGTATATATATATATATATATATTTATATATATATATATATATATATATATATATATATATATATATATATATATATATATATATATATATATATATATATATATATATATATGTATATATATATATATATATATATATATATATATATATATATATATATATATATATATATATATATATATATATATATATATATATATATATATATATATATATATATATATATATATATATATATATATATACACAGTAGCTTTCATAAATTTAGACGCATTCATTCTTTTTTTCATATATGTAAGAAAATACTCAAAATAAAAATGAAATAAAAGTGCTACCGCTATGTTTGATATATAGTTTAAAAGAGGAAATCAAACTCTATTATAGAGTACCTTAATTTTTTTTACAGGATGTTTATTACTCATTTTATACCGATTAACACAAAAAAGTTAATTGATAAACTTGATTTTATTTTGTTCATAAATTTAGACGCACAATTAAAAAAGTCTTATATCTTGTTATTTGATAGTTAATTAGTAGTTTTTTTCTTATATTTCTCATTAATAAGCCTAAATTAATTGATTTTGTCAAAAAACCTAATATAAATATGACTTACCTGGAATTATTTAATCATTATTTAATAAATAAACAAAAGTTAAGTTAGTTTTGCACTAAAAAAACGTAAAAAATGGGCAAAAGACGTATCACTCAAGGTGAAAGATGGCAAATTATTGCGCACATCAAAGAAGGAACCAAAAGTAATAGAGAAATCGCCAAGTTAATTGGAGTTTCTGAGAAATGCGTTCGGACAACGAAACAAAACTTTCTTCACACTGGTGGTGCCAGCGAGAAAACGAAGCCAGGTAGACCCTTGTCAACCACGAGAAAGGACGATAGTGTTCTTTTTAGAGCTGTCAGAGCTAATCCAAGAATTAGTTACAAAGAATTGACCACAGAATTCAATACAACGCGAAATACATCTATTTCTCAAAGCACAGTCCGCCGAATACTTATCAAATACAAGATTGGAGTCTACACTGCTTTGAAGAAACCGCTTCTGCGTCCATATGATAAACAAAGGAGACTAAAATGGTGTCGTGAAAGAAGGTATTGGACAATAGATCAATGGGAAAACATTATGTGGAGTGATGAGAGTAACTTTGAGCTTATCAATCGCAAATCTAACATAACAGTCAAAAGAATGGCTCACGAAAAGTTTTACGCCAGGTACATTAGACCAACTGTACAAAGTGGAGGAGGCTCGATAGGAATCTGGTCATGCTTCAATTACAAAGGTGTTGGTATGTGCCAAACATACACCGGAAGAATCAACTCCAGAATATAAGTAGAAGTACTGGAAAACAAC